CTCTTGACTACCATGTTTATAGAACTCTGCAGGGATGTTATCAATGCCTGGGGCTCTATTGCTTTTTAGTCCTTCTATGGCTTCATTGATTTCTTCCTCGTCTGAGGGTTCTACGTCTTCACCACCTGTAATTGGATCATTTGCCTCTGAGACATTTGTGCCATTTCTGTTAAGAAGAGTTGAAAAGTATTCAACCCATCTGTCCGAAATGCCTTGTTTGTCAGTTACTAAGGAGCCATCATTTGCTCGGCATCCTGTGGTACGGGGGATAAAGGGCTTTCTTCCTTTATTAATAACCTGGAAGAATTCTCTAGTATTATTGGAGATGAAGGCCTCTTCTATCTCATGTAGACTCTTATTCTCCCATCGTCTTTTCTTCCTCCTATGGACATGCCTCTCGCGCTTTTTCGTTGCTCTGTATTCCTCGACAGAGCTTTGTGTGTGCTTCCTTTGCATCATTTTATTGTATGCAATGTTTTTTCACTTGGTTTCTCCACCACATTCGTCATCGAACCACGGGTTATATATCTGCTTGGTCTTATCTCCTACAACCTCGTTCGCTACTTCCATAAGTGCAGTGCGGCATGAGTTCCATTGTGACTTGAGATTTGATTCTGGGACAGAGTTCCTTAATCTGATGTCCAGTTGGTATGAGAATCTAATGCTTGTATCACTGTCCTTAAACTTTTCAATATTGTACCTCTTCAGAGAACGTCGAGGCTGATACTTCACGGTTGATATCCGATACCTTATTTTTGCAATTTTAAGGTAGTGGTCCGAGTCAATGTCCGAGTCAATGTCATGCCCCTCGTTTTGTGCGAACATCAAGTAATGAGGATTTATATCTGGCGCTGACGAGTACATGGTCGATCTGAAAGCTTGTAGTGGATCCGTTCCGTCCAAATTTCCTCCATGTTTCTAGATGTTGCATTAATAGTCTGTGGGCCAGACCCCCTTACAGTGCACCCCCCCCCCCTCGCACATCCCTATAAATTGCATATCGTTGTGTTCCTTGTGACAATTTATTAAAAAAAAGCCAATGTTCCCACAAAAAAAAAGTGAACGAACTGCCCCAAAATGGCGTCCAAACATGGCGGATTGACGACTTTGACTTTAGTTAGTTTTTTTGTTACTGAGAATCAGCATTTGGCTTAATTTCATCATAGGTGGTCTTTTATTAAAGCTAGATAGTCAGAAAATAATAAAACATGTAAAAATATTAAAAACTAATTGGCTTAGGCATTAAAAAAAATCGGTAAAGTCAATTTTTTTTACAAAAAAATTTTCAAGTTGAAAATCAGGCGCCGTTTGTAATTAAACGGTCAACAATAATGCAAAACGTGCTGAAATAAAACATCTGGAGAATACATTTCTCTTCCTAAAACACTGATTACTTTTCAAAATATTTGAAGTAGTTTCGTAGAAAATTAATCGCTTAATTCATCCATCACCTGGAAGGACTGTAGTTATGTCCCTTCACAGGAAATGAGATATTAGGAAATGTTATTCGAGATTACTTACTGTTTATAGTACCAAAGAAAGTCTACTCAAGAATCGTAGAAGCTAAAATAAGAAATATTGTCGATTGTCTGAGCGATATGGATTGAGAAACTCAAGTTACACATTGGAACATAAGTTGCAAATTGGGACTGTCTTCACTTTAAGGTAGGTTATAGAGAAGTCCACAAACAAAGAAAAATGGTTCTCTATCTGCTTAATGCCTCACACTTTGGATTGATCTAATATCTACTAGTCTTTCACAAAAGCTCGTTTTCCTTTCAGATTCCTTCAAAAATCTTTTGCAATTGCACTAAACAGGAGGAGAGCTATTTTCTTTTATCGATAGACCTCTCTATAACCTGCTTCAAAGTGAAGATTGTCCCAATGTGCAACTTCAATAGCAATCTAAAATATAGTGGTTTTCACCATTATAAACCTCGTTTACTTCCTCCAGACCTGCTTGCCAATTGCTTAGAACAAATCTTACTTGCTGATGAAATGGTCTTCACCATAATAAACCTGCTTAATATCATCCAAACTGATCAAGCATTTTGACCCTCTTTTAGCAGCATCTTGAAATATTCTGTTCATCTGTCTACTATATATTCGTTTAGCCATATAACGGATACGGATCCTTGTTTTCTTTTCCGAAATTTTGGCACTTCCTTTGTCGTTCGCTTAGTGTATTTTTCCAATGTTTGGGTTCAATTCCGCGTTTTCCCTCATTTTGAGACCAAATACTAACAATCAGTTCCAGTTACCTAGAAGAACTTATAGCTTCGCCCTTTCCATCCTTATTTTGTGCAGAAAGAATAATGCATTTAATATTAAAAGTTCATATTTTTTATGATATGGTCCAACTTCCGAATAAAATTAAGGAAATAACAATGATTTTTTTAATAGCGATATATGAATTTTACTAAACAATCCATCACATTTTCATTAAAAGTAGTTCAGATTAGGTATATATTATTTTAGTTTATAAAACAGATATTAATATGACTCGTTTCGGGGGAAGTATATACAATTTAAATTACCTCTAAGAATCAGTAAATATATAAAGCAGAATGTTAAATTGCAAATATTAAATAAAAAATTCAAGATATTCTGCAAAGTATATTTGAATTAAGTTTTATTATTATAATTATATAATTTTTATAATAGAGGCCTTCTTAAGCGACCTCCGTATAGAATAAAGGAAGTTAAATTTAAAAAAATTAATGATAATAAATAAAAAAAAAAAAAGAAATAAAAATAAATTTTTTTTTTGACAATTAAATTATTGTATTAATATTTATTCGTTAATACAATCAATATAATATAACAAAAACGTTATTATAGCACTATAACTAAGCCATTTATGAGTACTGAGTGGTGTGGTAGAGGCCTCAAGGCACCTACGCCAGTAGCGCTTTCCTGCCGCTTAAGTACATTTTCTACGAAACTACTTCAAATATTTTGAAAAGTAATCAGTGTTTTAGGAAGAGAAATGTATTCTCCAGATGTTTTATTTCAGCACGTTTTGCATTATTGTTGACCGTTTAATTACAAACGGCGCCTGATTTTCAACTTGAACCTGATTTTTTTTAATGCCTAAACCAATTAGTTTTTAATATTTTTACATGTTTTATTATTTTCTGACTATCTAGCTTTAATAAAAGACCACCTATGATGAAATTAAGCCAAATGCTGATTCTCAGTAACAAAAAAACTAACTAAAGTCAAAGTCGTCAATCCGCCATGTTTGGACGCCATTTTGGGGCAGTTCGTTCACTTTTTTTTGTGGAAACATTGGCTTTTTTTTATAAATTGTCACAAGGAACACAACGATATGCAATTTATAGGGATGTGCGGGGGGGGGGGGAGGGTGCACGGTAAGGGGGTCTGGCCCACCGTGTATAACTTGTGCGGGAAATAGGTACTTCCCACAACCAAACCCTTAGAGGCTGCGAAGTTCACCACCCTTTTTCCATTGTCGTTTGAGTTCTCATGAAGGCTATTTCTTCCTATAGTAGGCCTAAATGCTTTCTCTTTTCCAATTTGAGCATTGTAGTCTCCAATCACTATTTTCATATCATGAGCATGGCAGTCATCAAAGCACTTCTCCAGTTCCTCATAGAATTCGTCTTTCATTTCATCTTCAGAGACTTCTGTAGGCGCGTATATACAGATGATGCTGACATTGTGAAACTTTCCCTTGATTCGCAAGACATAGAGTATGGGGCTGATAGGGTTGAAATCTATAACTTGCTGGGTCACTCTTCTTCTCACAATGAATCCAGTCCCAAACGAGTGTAATCGGTCATGACAACTGTAATAAATGGTGTGCTGGCCTTTCTTAAGGCTGCCTTTTCCAGTCTACCTGATCTCTTGGATAGCCGCTATGTCTATTGAATATGTTTTTAAAATGTTTAGGAGCGTTTGTGTAGCTCCGGGTCTATTTAGATTTAAAACGTTCCATGAAGCCAAAGTGTAGTCCAATTGATGAGCGTTGTGTCGTTTCCTGTTTATCGGTCCGGCTAATCTTTTTGGAGCATTCATAATAGAGGTAATTGAAGGGGAACGGGTTATCGGCCCACTGCCCCCGAGTCAGGTGGAGGGGCTGCCTCCTCAGAGCGTCTTGACGTGCTCTCCCATCCGGGGCGGCTTCCTAGGGAAGGTGGTCCTAGGGTGTGTTCTGTTAGTGACCTTGCGTTAGTGTGAGTGAATTGTGTACTGTCATGTGTGTTTTGCGCAGTGTACTGGACTTGGGAGGCCGGAGGAGCGTCAGTCCCCACTAACTGTGCGCTACAGCTAGCCCCTGCGGCATAACTATTCTATTCACAATATCTTAATTTTACTGTCTATTTCCATTTCTTATATAACTTCATATTTTTCTGTTTTTACATTTTATTCTAAAATTTCCATTTTAATACTTATGTCGCCTTTTTTTTTTTTATTATGTTTACTTCATCATTCCACACTTTGTACCGCTTATTATCATTTATCTCCTTGTTCTTACTATTGTCATTATTCTAACAAATGAATTTTACTTTAATTATTTTTTACCTACACTACTTATCTTTCTCATACCTTGTTATCTGGTTCTTTTCTTAGCCCTGATGATAGCCTTCAGGTCGAAACGTCGGCTAATGTCAGAATAAATAGTAACATTTATTTTTGCTTTCTTATTTGACTGATCACCCCAACTATTCTTTTCTTCATTTTTAAAAATAAAACGAAATGCAATGAAGTGAAAATAATTTTATTATCCTGGGACTTTTAGAATAAATTATAAATAAGATATGTCAGTGTGGTCATACATTAAATTTAATACTTACAAAATAAGATTTAATTACAAATAATAATAAGACAGAGAGGAAAATTTTGAAAAGAAAAAGTTTCTGAGGTACTTAAAGATTCTCTTACTTGCATTTCGTAATTAGTCTAATTGGGAATGGAGTATGTACTTAAAGAGGAAGAAGTACTTCTTCCAAGAATGGAGATTTGGAAGAAGAAACTGATGTTGCCTGTTGAATATCGGAAGGAGTAGAACCGGCCACCCCACTCCTTATCGAACCGGCCACCCCACTCCTTATCGAACCGGCCACCCCACTCCTTATCGAACCGGCCTCCCCACTCCTTATCGCACCGGCCACCCCACTCCTTATTGAACCGGCCTCCCCACTTCTTATCGAACCGGCCTCCCCACTCCTTATCGAACCGGCCACCCCACTCCTTATCGAACCGGCCTCCCCACTCCTTATCGCACCGGCCACCCCACTCCTTATCGAACCGGCCTCCCCACTCCTTATCGAACCGGCCTCCCCACTCCTTATCGAACCGGCGGTATCGATAATGCACAGTCGTCGGAACAGTTCCGTTCCGTTCCACAGTGAGATTAGGTTTCCGTTCCCGATCCAGTTCCATTGACCCATCCCTACTACAGTGGCTTAATAATTATTAAGCCACTGTATCTCTACCTCTTTGAATTACCTTTCTTATGGTTAATAAAAGTTGTTCTAACTTGTTTCAAGAGCACATTATCTTTTTTCTATTCTCCAACCTCAAACCTTTTTAACCTTAAGTCTTTTTATGTGTGGCTCGTCTCATATTAGTTGGAGTCACAACGAGTATATTATAAGAAGACAAAAACAAAAATATTTTTATATAACAAACATTATAAATACTGTTATTATTTCAAATATTGCCATATTTCAAATATTGCCATATTTCAAATATTCCCACATTTTATATATTCCAAATACTTTTACCATTTATATATAAATATTTCTATATAATAAATATCATAAATGAGGTATCATAAATGGATAAAAATACACGTATTCCAAAGAAAGATTACTATGCAGAACACAACTAAGCAAAACAAATAGCAGAGATCTTAGTCTTACAAGCGCACATGTACATGCAAATAATGATAATATTTAAAAGGCACCACATTGTGAATAAATACACGTACGCCCACGGACATATGAACACATGCGTAGCCTAAAGCTAGGGGTTTGCACTTGTATTGATAGAGACACAAACACTTATAATAAAATAATATATTTTGTTTAAGTGGTCAAGATTTTTTTTTTTTATCCAACACACACTCCAGTAATAAATCATCTGTTTCCTCTATATGTGTATGTAGTAGACCTGGCCACTCTTGAAATAATTTATTTCTAAAATAATTCACATGGTTATTCCACGAATGAATTATTTCGGGAATAATGGTTATTTCTGAAATAATATTTCAAACTGTCAATGAAATAATCTGGATGGAATAACTGCTGCATTTATTCCAGAAATAATTATTTCAATATTTTTACATTCTTTGGAATGAAGTAAATTATTTCGAAATGACTTATTTCTGAAATAAATTATTTCAGAATTATTTATTTCATAAATAAATTATTGCAAAAAATCAAGAAGTAAATATTTCAGAAATAAGATTGTTCTAACATAAAAAATTTACCAATATACACCATGTTTTCGGGGTATCTTTTTATGAAAATACTGTCGAATTCGAGATCGCGCCCCCCCCCCATCGAGTTTTAGTAAATTTTCGGATTTAATCGATATCAGGGTCGACTATTATGTTTTCGGGGTAGCTTATTATGAAAGTACGGTCGAATTTGAGATTGCGCCCCCCACCCACCAGCATCGACTTTTTGTAACTTTTCAGATGTAATCGATATCAGGGTCGACTAGTATGTTTTCGGGGGCGCTTATTATAAAACTTCGATGGGGGGAGGGGGAGGTAGGCGTACAATCTCGAATTTGACATTATTTTTATAATAAGCGCCCCCGAAAACATAACAGTCGACCCTGATATTGATTATATCTGAAAAGTCGATCAGAATGATTATTTCACAACATTATTTCTGAAATAATCATTTCAGAAATAATTATATTATTATTACTGAAATAATTTATTCCAGAAATAATCATTTCGGAAATAATGTCCTAATTATTTCATGATATAAATTATTTCAGAAATAAGTATTGAGGTTTATTTAACGATTTATTCCGGGAATATTTTTCAAATAAATTCTGCCCAGGTCTAGTATGTAGGTATTTCCTTCTATGTGTCACCAGAAACAAACACTCCAGTATCAAGTGCTTTAAGCCGTTATTGTCTATGCTGATGATCTTGTAATTTATACCGAAGGAAAACATTTAATGGACTTACAGGATAACAAACAAACTGCTCTGGACAACGTTAGTACCTGGCTTGCTGATAGTGGTTTTAAAATTTCATCAAGTAAGACAGTTTTGTTTAGCAAAATACAGCCAAAATTATTACCATCACTGACCATAAACAATCAATCAGTCACCTTCTCCCACGTTGTACGGTACTTAGGAGTGACCTTTGATAGAACGCTCAGATGGACTCAGCATGTTAAACAATTAAAAGCAAATTGCCTCCTCTCCCTGAATCTCTTAAAAATGGTCAGTAACACTAGCTGGGGTGCCGATCGAAAAAGCATGCTAACTCTGTAGGACATTAATAAGATCGAAATTGGACTATGGCTGTAATGCTTACAACTCGGCATCGAGTACCGTTTTAAAAATTCTAGATCCTGTACAAAACGCCGCCCTCAGAATAGCTACTGGTGCTTTCCGATCCAGCCCTGCTAATAGCCTATGTGTCGAAGCTGGCGAATTTCCTCTCAACATACGGAGAAAACAACTTGCCTCATTTACTTTGTTAAATCCGTTCTGCTTCTAATCATCCACTGACTGATTTGTTTTCAAATATGCAATACATTAATCAACAACAAACTGAATTACCAAATCGAACATCCTTTACAATCAGAGTTTCAACTTTACTAAATAATATAAATATTTAACTTTCTATTTTTCAAGAAACTGCAGTTTCGCCAATTTATCCTTGGGGACTTCCTTCTCCAAAAAATTCATCTTTCTCTCACCAAATTTATTAAAAACAACACAATGCCTTATATATATAAACAGGAATTTCTCAAACTTCAAGACAGACTAGGTGATTATGACTTTATCTACACTGACGGCTTAAAAAGCTCCGCAGGCATGGGAGCATCAATTATATGTAACGAACATCAACATATGTTTTCTCTTTCACCACTATGTAATAATTATACTGCTGAATTGGTTGCAATACATAAAGGTTTAAATGTTATACAGCCCACTAAACAAAAGATTGTCATATGCACAGATTCTCTATCCGCCCTAATTAGTCTAAGAAATGTTTTATCATTTAATGTCATAATACAAAGCATTCTGTTTTCAATAAAGTCCGCAAAAAGAAATAATATATCAGTAATTTTTGTCTGGGTCCCAGGTCATTGCGGAATAACAGGTAATGAACTGGCTGATCGAGCTGCTAAAAAAGTCATTACTGATGGAATACCTTATCGGGGATTACCTGTAGACACGGGCGGATCTAGGAGGGGGGAGGGCTTTCGGGCTTAAGTCTCCCCGAAAATGGTAAAATATAACCATGTTTTATGGAACAATATATTAAATAATTATCTCTTAAAGTATTATTGTTCGTGTAATTACATTTAAAAGGACTTAAGGAATCACTTAAACACCATTTCATATAGATAGTTAGTTTCTTTCTTTTTTTTTTCCAAAGTAATTATCGTCATTTTTATGAAAAAAAAAGCTTTCGGGCTGAAGCCCCCCCCCCAAAAAAAATTAAATCCTGGATCCGCTAGTGCCTGTAGAAGATTTTATTACTGGCATCAAACAGAAAATGAAGACAAAATGGGAACAAACATAGTCGAATGTAACCGAAAATAAATTGAGGGAGGTTAAGGGTGACGTTTCCTCTTGGGCATCGTCAAATAGGAATAACCGCAGAGAGGAAGTAATTCTTACGCCCCTGCGTATAGGTCATACACGCCTTACCCATGGATACCTGATGGCCCGTGATTCTTCGCCAACATGCCAAACTTGTAGGAATCTTCTGACAGTGAAACACATTTTAACAGAATGCAGAGCTTACGAAACATTTAGACTCTTGTGACTTGACAAACGATCTACACTTCATTTTACAGGACAATACGGATGAAATTGATAAACTATTTTCTTTTCTGAAACGTTGTAAACTTGAAAATAGAATCTAATTCTCAGTGAAAATAAGGCAATAATGACCCAAGTGGTTGAAGCCTTAAAATATACCAATAAACAAATATATACAACCGTTATTGATAAGTTGGCCGCACCACTGGCAGACTTCGTTTGTATTTATAACGTATGTAATGTTCCCATGGACAAATTTTAAATGGTCACAACCCGATAGTCTTAGACGACTTACCGTCCGTAACTTTCTTAGAGATATCATAAATTTTAAATAATTTTCGGGTTCTGAGCAATTGTAACCACAAATAAGTCGATACATATTACTGTAATTTGAATTGTAGGCACGTTCAATGTCTCTCAAGTATAAATTGTTGAATACAGTTGTTAAAATAGCATTTTTGTTTCTAACAAGTATTCCTAGATTAGAAAAACGATTAAAATATTCTTCAACGAAATTAGAAGCGGCTATATTTTTAAGTTGTATTTTAACAACTGGCAACCATACGAACCTAATTTTACAGTTTTCATAACTTCAATATGATATTTTTACAAATATTTATAACCTTCGAAAGTCTCTGTTACTTGTAATATTTTTTTTTTTTTTTGGTTTATAAAAGATCATTATTTTTATGTAATTCGAAAAATTGTAACATTTACTACTCTTCATAAATTGTATCTACCTCTTTATAAAAGCCGAGAAGATCGTTGATGAACGTCGAAGATAAGAGTTGATTTGAATTGACAGTTTGTAATCATGTTGTTTTTTGTACCAATATACTTTTCATAAGTGAATAATACTATTAAAACAGCTTTATAGACTATAAAACATGATGAGAAAATTTAATTATTAGTTTGTTTTTTTAAATGTAGAATTATTGATAGCCAAGATTTTTAGAATGAAATTGAGATAGGTATATTTTTGTTTAAAACTACTATAATGTGAATTATATCCTTATTATGGCTTATTTTCCTTTAGCTTTACATCATAAATTGTATATGATACAATAATGAATGTATCTTTTATTGGGGAAAAGAAACCAAGCCGAGGAATAGAATCAACTGCACTAATTTCCAATTGTTTAATTTTAACTATCCAAATTACAAAATATTTTAACAAAATTATAGAAACCACTGATGTGATTTTTAGAGAAATCATTCAATCATTGATCATTTTTTTTTCTTATCGTTTTTATATTGATTTCAAAAAAGCTTACAAGTTAATCTTGTTATGCCTAAGAAGAATGTGTCAACCAGAGAATTTAGATGGTTAAAAACATGAACTGCTCCCATTTAATTTCAATGTCCCCTATTTTGACTACCTATAACATCCCATCTGTATTATTACTTTTCTTGTATAATACTATTATTTTCTAAATGCATAATTTTGTATGTTCTACTTTATTTTACATAAATTTTAAATACTTTATTAATTTCCAATAAATTCTGTTGTACCTATTTTATAAAACTTATTTATTCATAATTGACTTGGGTAGTTTAGCCCCTCTCGTATTTAATACTTTATCTCTGTACAAGAAATTATAAAAATTCTAATAATTAAATATATTATTATTAATTTATTTTTAATACCTGTTGTCTCTGTTGTGAATGTAAAAAACCTATTCAAATAATAATAATAATAAATAAAATAAAAATGCTCTCTAACTCTGAAAATGGCATGGATGTTTTAGTTGACCTAAAATATCAACTGTCGAAATAAATGAACCAAAACGTCACCTATAGGTTTCTATAAAGAATTAATTAAAATTAAAATAATGTTTTAAGTTTAATTAAATTACTGGAAATTATATTTCTTGGTATCAAATGTTTTATTCATTCAACAGAAATCTCATCGATAACTCCTTTATTTACCTCCTACCAGACTATTTCTGTCATACAGGGGGTATACGGATTAGAACCAGTGCTATTAGACTAGAGGTTAGTATGGTTATGATGCCCTAACACCCTCGGCCATCACAACCTTCATCTCATTAATAACTATTAAGCTATTACTGTTAATTTCAATTCCTTAATTATAACAAATTAGTTAATAGCTGTAATTTTTTCTTTGAATATTTATTAGATGTTATCGATGTGGTTTTAGAGCAACCATTCAAACATGATCAAATATTTTTCATTATTTTTATAACACTTTAAAAAATCTGGTGCGGTGGGTCCATCACGCAACTTTCACTTATCACCCTCTTCTTACCAGAAATAAGTATATTCAGACAAAGGGGAATTGAAAGTAAAAATTCTAATTGTTATATTGATTTATATTTCATTGTGGATATTTTTATTTGTTTAACTACCCTTATATATACAAATTTTAATATTTATGTCGCTGTAATCTATAGAATTAAATATAAAATAATTCCAACAAAAACCACATATGTATATGTACATAATATTGTCGGAGTTTTTATTTTATTATGCTCATGTTATGTATGGAAGCCTGTTCTAATCTTCAGGTGAACTGGGCCGTGGTCTTGTTCCTTTGGTTCCTTCATTACAACTATTCCCTGTTAGGATCTCATATTTAGTTAATTATCAAATTCTTTATATTTAACTATTTTTTATATTAGAGATCAATGTGAAATAGTTAATTGTTTCAAATAAAAAAAAAATAAAGGTACTTTAGAGGAAGCTAATATTGAAAATTAGCCATTTAAGTCCTGTTACAGAACATCAATAAGAATAAAACTGACATAATATTAAAAACTGCTTAGTTTTACACTGATATAATGAATTTAATCAAAATCGTTGGAACCGTTTTCGAGAAAATAGTAAAAATGTGTTTCATGGATGATACGAAGTGCCACTTCCGGTTAGCCGATTTTGAGGAAAAAGTTGCTATAACATCTCAGATATATACAAACCTTAAATATGCAATTTCACTTTCATACGACTTATCGTTTTTGAGTTAGACGTGTCATATACATACAGACACATGCACACTCACACACACACACAGACCCTTTTGCGGGACTTTGTTATTTGGACTCAGGAGACCTCAAAACATGTATTTCCGTTGAAAACTCAGATTTGAAAATTTTCACAATTGCAATACTGTTCCTTACTATATATTTCATATATAGGTAAGGGGAAGTAAAAAAGTTACAATTCTATTGTCCGCTGAAACTACATATTTTATTTGACTAAGGAATAGTAAAGAAGTTAGTTCATCTAGTTAAGACTGAAGCAGAAAGTGTGAACTGAAGAATTTAGATAGTTAAAACCCCTGCATTGCATAAACTGCATCCAGTAAATATGATGAGGTAATTGCATCACTGGAATAGTAATAGTGCCCTAATTGTACTATTGCCTTTCTTACATTGTTTTAATTTTTCAAAACATATAATTTTGAAATTGTCAATAATACAAGGATTCCCTCCCCTTAATTCTATTAGATGATAATGTGAAATATCTAATATCTCCTACACATTGAATATTGTAAGAACAAGATAAAACGGTCAAAATTGGGACAAGAAGGCACAGGGGGTCCCGTAAATAGAAGGGAATATCTATAACAGACCTCAAGAGCTACAAAAAAGTTTATATTAACAATAGTCCAGTTTCTAGCAGAGAAGTAGAAAATTAAAGCTGTTTTTTTAAGTAAGTCATGGTTTTTATTAAATAGGAAATGATAGCTTAAAAACTATTTAATTTAAGTAGTTATAAATTATTTCACAGTAAACTAGACAAAATTTACTGGAAATGAAAGTAGAATTTGTACTTGTTAAAATCATTTAGAGAGGGTAAACTAAGCTAATTTCTGTTTTTGAAAAAATGATAAATTATTCAGAATTTTTTATCATAATTCAACTTTTAGAAAAACTTTCCCGTTTAATAAGCTTTAAATCCATAATTAAGTTGAGGTTTGTTATAAAATGTGAATCAATTCCTATAATAGATATCTGGGTAGAAAACACTATTTCATTACCAATTTACATTTTAAAAAATCAATGTTTTAGTTTAGCCGCTCAAAAGTCCTCTTAAGTAAATTTTGTCTAGTTTTCAGTAAAATAATTTTTAACTTCTTAAATTAAATAGTTTTTAGTTATCATTTCCCATTTAACAAAAAACATGAATTACTTTTAAAAAAACACAAAACTTTAATTTCCTGCTGGAAACCGGACCATTGTTTATATAAACTTTTTTTGTAGCTCTTGAGGTCTACTATCACTCCTATAAATATTTTCCCCTGCTTATGCGACACCCTGTGTATACTACTAAAGTATAATTACACTTTTTATGTTAGAATTATTATTGTTTATTGACTGAAATATTTTGTACAGGTTTTAATGTAAAAAAAAAATCATTAATCTCTTCATTTGTTAATTTTTTGTTTTGTGTTGATTAAAAACAAAAACGATCATATATACAAACATGTCTAGTTTGATAAATTTGTTGGTTATATTTGGATGTTCAACTGCTTGGTTGATTACTCTTTCAAAAATGGCACCAAGTTTAGTTGATTTTAAAGAGGTTAGTTTTTATACATTATTAATTATTATTTATATTTTTTATTTATCAATGTGTATAAACATTATTTATTTTCTTTAAGGAGTCCATGAGGTTTCCAACATCATTCAATGATCTTACTAGACTATCGGCCTTATTTCAGGCATATAATAAAAACAATAGGTTGTATATGATCATCCTTTTTACCAGTGCTTATCTCTATAAACAAACATTTTGTATTCCAGGCTCTGTTTTGCTTGTAAGTAAAGTGGAAACCAATGCAATTTTAACTGAAAATTATAATAAACTTTATAATATTTATGAATGATTTTCCAATAATTTCCTTTATTTATAATTCCTATTAATAATTCCTTTATTTATTATATCTATTCCTTTATTTTGTAAGAACAGTTGGTTTATTTTAAGAAAAAGTAATTTCACACGTACTTAATGATTTCTTTAAAGTTTCTGAAATATCATAGAATAATAAGCCTATATTTTGTTTCCATCTAATTTTGTTTACTGTATTTTCAGAATGTATTAGCTGGAGCAATTTTCGGATTATGGACTGCTCTTCCACTTTGTTGTGTTTTAACTGGTTTAGGGGCTACATTATCATATTTGTTATCAAAACAATTCGCTGAACAAATTGTTGTACATTATTGGCCTGAAGAAGTAAGAAATCTTAAAGAAAGAGTAAGTGTTACGCTTTTTTTTTTCTTTTTTTTTAATCCATTCATGTTGGACGAATGTATCCAATATCACTATGACTTAAGCGGGTTATCACCTTTTAAGATAATTAGACATTATCAAAATGTTACTTACTTACTTTGTAGTTCTACAGGTCGGGGTGGGTCTTGGCTTCCCTAACTATTTGACGGCATTCCTCACGGTCATGTGCGCTCTCTGTCTTACACCCGGTGTTTTGAGATTCTCTTCCACCTTCTACATCTATCGTCAGTGTGGTCCACCAACTCTTCTTTTCCTAATAATTTTACCATATTAATAACCTGCTTGGCATTCTATTGGCTGGCGGGTATCCTTGTTACGTGGCTAACCATTCGATGCGACATGATTTTATGAATTGTACCACAGACATTGGTGTCTTAGAATAACCAATACTGCTCATACTGATCTCGGAGGAACAGGTCCTTTTAGTGAACGGTAGGAATGATAAATTGTTTTTAAGGAACAGACGTTCACTCCATATTATCGCTCCTTTCTATCTTAAAAAATTCAAATTTGGAAGAAAGGTGTTTGTTTGTCAAAAAAGTGTTTAAAATATCATCAATTTTTGGACTATGGCTTGATCAATTTTTTTTTTCATTTAATTTATTATATTTGGAAAAATAATGTTCCAATAACATATGAATTAACCTTTTTGATTCGTTTTTGTTGGCACAAATTCGTCCAATCTAAATAATTTAAATGTTTATAAGTAATCCTTCAACGATTGGTTCCCCAAAAATAATCTATTAATAACAGAATAAAGAAAAAACAGTATTGTTTAAATTACTACTCGTACGTACAAATAATATTGAAATTTATATTATAAAAAAAAAGTAATTTAATTAATGAATAAACCAAAAATTGATAAACAGTAAATTTATTTTAAATAATTTATATCCAGTAAATATTGTAAGAAAAACTTGATATTTTTTTAATTGTAAATTATAGTTTAAATAATTATGTAAACAATAGAAATATAAAAGTGTCAGAGGTTAATAATTTTAAATATAAAAGACCTACTTATTTATATTCAGTATGTATTATAAAATGATTAATATGTTAATTTTTTTTATTATAATTTATTTTAATCAATAAAGATTTGTTAGAATATAATTTTGTTTTTTGGATTTAAAGTGGTCCATTTTTAAAAACCGATTAATTAATTATAATAAATATTTTAATATTACAATTATTAAAACATGAACAACGTAATAACAGGTGTAAATCACAAATAAAATAATATATGCTAAAGATAACGATGGCAGGACCCGCCGAACAACTGAATGGGAAAGACCCAAACGAACAAAGAATTGTTAGCTTAATTGTTCAGTGAATAGAATGAACAATTAGGATGGATCCTTCTCGTTCAGCCGGTCCTCCTCATTCACGGGACCTTCTCATCCTGTTCATTGAACGGTTAAGCTGCCCTTAATCGTTCAGTTATTCACCCGGTCCTTCCCTTTCGCTCGCTCCTTGGGCTTTGCCTTCCACTGTTACCTTTCACGTTTATTATTTTATTTTTGATTTACATCTTTTATTGTAACATTAGAATATTTATTGTATTAATTTGATCTATGATATGAGTTTAGTTACCTTCTCTCTACTATAAGAAAAATGCAAGTTATTTATTATAAAACTGTATTTTTTTTTATTTTGCTTGAACAATTTCAGTGAACAGTGGTTTTAAAATATATCTTTTTATAAAAGATGTGGGTAAAAATTTATTCATCAGTTAATTGAGGTATTTATTTTTGTTTATTTTCAATTTTTGGAGCCAATACCTAAATGACAAATATCTTTTATTTTTTTTTTTGAAAGACCATACTTGTAAATTAAGAGTATAACAATTGGCTCTCCATAGTTTTTTTGGGGGGGATTTCATCATTTTGCATCCTCGCCACATGTCCTGCCCATCGCAGTCTTGTAAGCTTTATGATTCTTATGATATCCGGCTCCTTGAATAGATTGTAAAGCTCTGTGTTGTGTCTAATCCTCCAATTCTGTTCATCACACACATGAGCATAGATTCTGCGGAGTACCTTCCGCTCAAATAACGCTAGGGCTCGCTCGTCTCCTTGTGTCATGGTCCAGGCTTCAGAGCCATACATCAGTACCGGACGAATGAGCGTTTTATAAAGCTGTGTCTTTGTGCTGCGAGAGATGAGTTTAGTTTTGAAATGCTTATTTAAGCAAAAATAGCACTTGTTTGCCGCTACTATTTTTCTCTTGATCTCTAGGTTTCTTTTGTTTTCTCTATTTACCAGAGATCCCAGATATGCAAACTCATTAACTCTCTGGAACTTATAGTGCGCGATCTCCAGGTGTTGTTCTCGGGCGGTAGCACTACCTCCAATACACATATATTTGGTTTTTGCTTCGTTAATGACCAGTCCTAACCCTGCAGCTGCTGCTTCTAGTAAGACAAACGCTTCTTTCATAGCATTCATCGATCTGACCATTATATCGGTGTCATTGGCATATGCAAGTAGCTGTACGGTCTTATTGAATAGCGTACCAGTAGTCTGGGTGCCAGAATTCCTCACAGCTTTTTCGAGTGCCAGATTAAATAGGAGGCATGCAAGAGCATCTCCTTGTCGCAGTCCTTTAGTTGTCATGAACCTCTGTGATAGGTCTCCCTGTACTTGGACGACACATTCTACGCCCATCATGGTCATCCTGACGAGGCGGACTAGTTTTGGTGGTATATTCATTCCAATCATTGCCCTGTATAACTGCTCTCTATCAATGCTATCATAAGCAGCTCTAAAATCTATAAAGAGATGATGAGTTTTAACATTATATTCCATCGTTTTCTCCAGCAGCATTCTAAGGGTGAATATCTGATCAGTGGTCGATTTTCCTCTTCTGAATCCACACTGGTATTTGCCGATCTCTCGCTCTGCAAACGGCAGAAGCCTCTGGAAGAGCACGTTTGATAGAACTTTATAAAATAAAATCAATAAAATAAAATAAAGTCCATAATAACACAAAATAAAGTCCATAAAATCCTGGGGTCTTGTTGTTTTTGAGCTTTCTTATTGCCTCCTCTACTTCCTCATCATCTGGTGGTTCCAGATCATCATCGGCACTATAACCAGGTGTTACAGCATCTTCATCAATGTTGTTATTTCTCAATCCTTCAGTAATGAGGTCTTTGAAATATCTTCTCCATCTATCCAGAATATCCGTCTTCTCCGTCAGAAGATTACCATTTCCATCTCTGCATAAAGAAATTATTGGTTGATAAGTTTTGCGCCCTTCGTTAATTTTTTGGTAAAATTTCCACACTTCGTTTAGGTTCCTGTGCTCTTCAATGGCCTCCAACTCATTGCTTTCGTATTCCCATTTTTTTTTCTTGTGTAAACTTTTTTCAATTCTTCTTTTTTCACAATATTCCTCAGTTGCAGCTCGAGTATTTCTTTTTTGGAGCATTTTTCTATAGGCCTCATTCTTTGCTGCAGTCACCAAATGACACTCTTCATCGAACCAGGGAGATCTGACTGACCTTTCCTGCTTACCTAGAACTTCTTCAGCTGCCGAATCCAGCGAAACTTTGAACGCATCCCATATATGATCAATATTATGATCATCTGAAACATCTAGAGTTACTAATTTTTTATTTATTTGCTCCTCATAAACTTGGCGCATATCTAGATTTTTCAGTTTATTCGTATCATACATTTTTACCTTTTGTCTTTCTGTTCTTGGGTTAGTGTTTGCTATCCTAGCTCTGATTCTGGCAATACTTAAAAAGTGATCAGAATCAATGTTGGCTCCTCTTTAGGTTCTGACATTGATCAGATTTGAGCGATGTCTTGCACTAATCAAGATATGATCAATTTGATTTATAGTTCTCCCATCTGGGGATTTCCACGTATCTTTATGAATATTTTTATGTGGGAAGAGTGTGCTACCTATGATTAGGTTTTTAGATCTGGCAAAGTTCACTAATCTTTGTCCATTATCATTAGTGTCATTTTGCAGGCTATGCTGACCAATAGTCGGGAAGAATACGCTCTCATTGCCAATCTTTGAGTTGAAATCACCCATTATTATCTAATTAACAGCCTTGCATTCTTACGAGCAATAAACCCGGTACCGAAGATATGGTGCTTACTATGGCAGCTATAATATATAGTATGGCTCTTCTTTTCGATGATTCCATGTCCGGTCCAACGTATTTCCTGGATGGCTGTTATGTCCAACTTATATTCGTCAACGGTATTTAAGAGAATCTGCAGTGCTCCAGGTCTATACATGCTTAAAACATTCCAATATCCAAAAATAAGATCCTTTTGACGGCCAAGTCGTTTCCCTGAGATCAATCCGTTTTTTTCGCTTTGAGATTTCCTGATAGGTTAATTTAGGATGTACGGGTTATCGGCCCATAGCATCCGAATAGGAAGGTAGCCCTAGGTTGTATATTGTTAATGCCTTTGTCTGAAGTGTAAGGTGTGTAATATACGTGTACTGTTCTGGTGAGTGTGCATGGTGTACTAAGCTGTGGCATCCCGTGGGGGCGCTGATCCCCAGGCATCTGCATGCAACAGATACCCCTTACGGGATGCGGATTGCATCCTAACTGGATGGGCGATGGGGCCGTTAACTCCCTACGCCAATACTACATATCACAGGAGATAAATAATCAGGAAGCAGTCATTTTTGTGATTTTTTATTGTTGCCGACATTTCAACACAAACATGTGGGTCATCATCAGTGCCTGTTTGTAGTACTGTAGGTATTCAGTTGCTGAAAAGTAGAGTACGTGAACACCTTCAGTTCTGTGAACATGCCCTGACGATGAAACACATTTTTATGTTGAAACATTGGCAATAATAAAAAATCTCAAAAATGACAGCTTCCTGATTATTTATCTCTTGAAATTTATAATGTTATGTTTTTCTTGAGTGTGACAGTGAGGTAGAATTAATGTTTTTCATTTTTTTGTAATTGAAAGCATGTTGATA